AAATACTTGCAAGTAAAGAATAAATCATTCTTTGCTGACTGAATCCTGTCTGCATCACATTTCGTTTTCATCTTCTAAAGCACATTTTGCACAAATCATTTGAAGATTGCATTGGCTACCTTAACATGAGAATTTAATAAAACATTTACAAAAAGATTAGATGTGTCCTGAAGTACACATGCCCAGCTTCATAAGATGCTTATAACTAGGCCTAGAAGTATTCATAGAATACACCAGCTTGAGCATGCTGCTTAGCCTATGCAGCAGAATATTTACCACCAATGGGAACTACTCTTCACGGCTGCTGTTTCATTTTCCCAAGTCACATTAGGTATTTATTCTAATTAACTAGTTCAGAGATCTTATTACGCACCTCTGGAACAAGCGGGACTTGATCCCAGGCCTCCTAGCTCAGAGGTAGGGGCACACCCACTGCACCGCAAGTGCCCTCACTTAAGTAGCTCAGGCTTGATTAGGAGGAGGAATATGTTTAACTGCCTGGCTCCAGTTGTTATCTAAAGCCAAGTAGTGGTGCACATCAGGACTGTCAAGACTATAGGGCTTTTAATGCCATTTTCTGTTCCAAACTTTCTAACTTATTTTTCAAACTGCGTTTGAAAATAGCAAAAAGGGAAGAATGTACAAGATAGCTTTTGTCCTGTAATTAAACACATGTTGGAGTTTCTGAAAAATATTTAGATGAAAAATAAATTTACTATGTCTCTTTAAAATGGGTGTGGTTCAAGTCCATTGTTACACTTTCTGACCTCAAATTGCTGCACTCAGTACTCTTGTTGAACTTTACAGAAAATATTCTTCCTTCCCCCTTCCCACCCCAAATATCTTGTTTCCATTAACATTAAAGATGCTCTGATCTCGTTACACATTAGAAGAATTCCATGATGAAGCTTAGCGACATAAGTCACGGGAATGTAAAAAGCTACATTTCCTAATACTCAAAATATATGCTGGCTTCAAACCCCAGTTTCAGCTCCAGTGAGACCCTCACTTCCTAAAAAGCCCAGAATGTAATTCCTTGGTGCAAAACTGAATTTAAAAATAACCTAACTTACAAATCTACTGTCCTTTTCAAAGATTTTGGTCAGTGATCATTCCATTCTATGTACACTTGTTTTTACATTTGGCCCATACTTTGGTTGTTTTCAACAACGAAAACAAATTTAAAACATGGGAACTACAGAGGCTTTATTAAAATCCAGGTCACTGGACACCCACAAAAAATATTTTATATGACGAATGATTTAACCAGAATGATGGCTAAACTGAACCCTTGCTTTATTGGTTGTACTCCACCTGCAATAAACACTAACAGTAACCTTATGATTGAGATCTCGGGTCTGCATCTAAAATTACTCTACCAAAACTAGCAATGCATTTGAAGAATACACATCTGCCTAACCTATATTCACAGCTACCCTGAGACAACAAGGTGCAGGGCTGGATGAACACAGCAGGCCAAGCAGCATCATAGGAGCAGAGAGGCTGACGTTTCGGGCCTAGACCCTTCATCAGAAAAGGGGGAGGGGAAGGGGGTTTTGAAATAAATAGGGAGAGAGTGGGAGGCGGATAGAAGAGGGATAGAGGAGAGGATAGGTGGAGAGGAAACAAACAGGTCGAAGAGGCGGGGATGGGGCCAGGAAAGGCGAGTGTAGGTAGGGAGTTAGGAAGGGGATAGGTCAGTCCAGGGAGGACGGACAGGTCAAGGGGGCGGGATGAGGTTGGTCGGTAGGAGATGGAGGTGCGGCTTGAGGTGGGAGGAGGGGATAGGTG